TTCGCCTGGCTGGAAAAGTGCCGCCGACTCTGGAAGAACTGCGAAAGAAAGCTCAATACCAGCCTGCAAATGGTGGTGCTTGCCTTCACGGTGCTAATCCTAAAAAGATTGTAAACAGGCTCTTAGACGGTGAGAGGGTTACCGTGGGGGGCGGACAACCACAGCGCGCTCCTCAGGATTGACCGGTTCTAGTCGGCAGCGGCGGCGGCGGCGTACCACTCGGGTCCTTCCTCGCCCGGCTCGGGCAGTACGAACCCGCCCTCCATGGTCCAGGACGCCGGGTTCTCGGTGATGCGCCCGCTGATCGAACCGGCCGGCACGTCACCTATCTCGCGGAAGGCGTTGGTCAGATCGGACAGCAACTGCTGCTTGAGATCAGCGGGGCGGCCGGCGCGGTTGGCTCCGTCCAGATAGAACGGGGTGTCAAACTCACCTGTCTCGCCCTCGGGAGTCTCGATGAAGGTGACCGACACAAAGCCCCGGGGAGCGCCCGTTGATCCGCAGTGGATGTCGGTGAACGCCAACGCTATTTCCTGACGTTGCTCGAAGGACAGGGCATCTTTGGGAATGATACAGCGGTAGTGGGGCATAGTTTTCTCCTTGTGTTGGCGTACCGGGCGCTAGCGCGCGGGATTGCCAAGCTGCCTTCGCATTGGCGGTCGGCGTAACTCTCTGCTCGTGGGAAGAGGGATTAATTCTCCCTGCGGTCGCGGGCGGACACCACCAGCTCGTCGGTGGTGCAGCCGGTGAGGTCGATCCACATATCCTGGATGGTTTGCATCAAGCGGACGCGGGTTTCCTGCCGGCAGCCGGGCGGTATCTCGCCGCGCACCGCCGACGTGGTGGACAGCCTTCCGCCGCGGAACCCGAACCCGTGGGGAACCTCGATCCAGTTCACCGACACGTCATCGGGATCGCCGCTCAGTACGGACGCGCAGATGCGGGCCAATTCCAACTCCAGGCGGGGCCGCAATTCCTCGGGAATTATCCCCTCCTGGATTGTACAGTTGAAGGTTATGTCGGCCATCTTCAAAATCCATCAGGTCGGCAAATACTTGGGATTTGTGCCTCCGCCGCAGATTATCACAGCGGTTGTCCCCACGCAATTCAGCCGGAATATGCGAAAATGCTGCATCTCCAGCAGTCGCTGGGCCAGCGATCTGGCGCGCTGCGAACAAGGATTATCCATGTGTAGAAGCATCAAAACCCTGCGCTCGGCAGAAACGCCGGCCACCCATGAAGAGACGCAGGCCGCCGCGCTGCAATTCGTACGCAAGGTCAGCGGGTATCGCACGCCTTCGCGCGCCAACGAAGTTGCCTTCAATAAGGCGGTGGATGAAATCGCCCGGATCACCGACACGCTGCTTCAATCGCTCCGCACCCGCTCTAACGCCTGAAATAGCGGCCGACTCTGCCGGCTCGCCGCTCGCGGTGACCCCCGGCTTCGGCGTTTGCTGATTGCATGGGCGAAGTTCCGCGTCCATGTGCCCTTGTGCTATGTTAGGTGTCGCAACAATACAGAAACCATAATCCAAACTCTCAGGAAGGTATCATCATGCCCACAATGACCGGCGGCCAGGCTCTCATGCGCTCACTGTATCTGGAGGGGGTGCGAGTCATATTCGGGCTGCCCGGCGTACAGCTTTATCACGCCCTGGACGCCCTGAACGACGTGCCGGGCATTCGGTTCATTACCACCCGCCACGAGCAGGCCACCACCTACATGGCCGACGGTTACGCCCGGGCCGGCGGGGGTGTGGGCACCGCGCTGATGGTACCCGGTCCCGGATTGCTGAACGCGTCCGCCGGCCTGAGCACGGCCTACTCGGCGTCGTCTCCGGTGCTGGTGGTTTGCGGCCAGATCGAACGCGACCTGATTGGCATGGACCGCGGGATGCTGCATGAAGTCAACGACCAGCAGGACGCCATCCGGCCCATCACCAAATACGTTGAGCGCATCATGACTCCCGAAGCCGCGCCCGGCGCCGTCCACGAAGCCTTCCGTCAGCTCACCACTGGGAGGCCCCGCCCGGTGGAAATTTGAAATGCCTCCGGAAACGATGGCGGACTCTGCATCCGTGTCCCTGATGGAAGCGGAAGGCTATCCCCGCACGTCCGCACCGCCCGAGCGGGTAGCCGAAGCGGCCCGCCTGCTGAGAGAGGCCCGGCGCCCCCTGATTTGGGCCGGCGGCGGCGTTATAGCCTCGGAAGCATCGGCGGATTTGGTGCGGCTGGCCGAACGACTCCAGGCTCCCGTCATCACCACCGCAGAGGGCAAGGGAGCCATTAGCGATAGACACCCGCTGGCCCTGGGGTCCCTGCGACTGCGCAACGATCCGGTGGCCAAGGACGAACCAAACTTCGATATCATACTGAGCGTGGGCACCCGTATGGCTTTCCCGGCCTGGCTGGGCGGCCAAAAAGTGGTGCAAATCGACATTGACCCCGAAGAGCTGGGACGCAATTGGGACAACACTTACGGAGTCGCTGGCGATGCGCGCACTGTGATGGCGCAGATCGACGCCGAGTTGTCCTCCACAATGACGGAAGAGCGCCCGTCCTTCGCCGCCGATGCCGCCGCACTGCGCGCCCACCGGGCCGCCTCCGCGCTGCGACCCGAACCCCAGGAGTCATTGCTGGCCGCAGTGAGGGCGGCTGTTCCCGAAGAGGGCATCCTGATTTCGGGCATGACGCAGATGGGCTACTACGCCCGCGCCTTCTGGCCGACCTACGAGCCGCGCACGTTCATCACGTCCAGCTACTCCGGCAACCTGGGCTACGCCTATCCCACCGCGCTGGGCGCCAAAGTGGCCCAGCCCGACCGTCCGGTGGTGGCGCTGTGTGGAGACGGCGGGTTCCTGTTCAATTCGCAGGAACTGGCGACGGCGGTGCAGCACGGTATTAATGTGGTGGCCGTGGTGTTCAACGACAATGCCTATGGCAACGTGTTGCGCGACCAGGTAAACCGGTTCGAGGGTCGCGTGGTGGGAGCCGAGCTGCACAACCCCGATTTCGTGAAGCTGGCCGAGGCCTACGGAGCGCGGGGCGTGCGGGTTCAGGGACCAGAAGCGCTGGAATCGGCCATCCGGGAAGCCATCACCATTGACGCCCCCAGCCTCATCGAAGTCCCGGTGCAAATGATGCCCACCCCGTTTGAGGGGTGAGGGGGTTTAATTGCCCATAGAGGTATCACCATGCCCAAAGTCAATCCGGAAATACTGGTTTGGGCGAGAGAGACGGCCCGTCTTGAGTTGGACGAAGCAGCCAGAAAACTCGGCTTCCGAGATACTCTCAAGCGTAGAGCCAAAGACCGTCTCAATGCCTTGGAAATGGGCGAAGATGAACCGTCTCGGTCAGTGCTGGTTAAGATGGCGCAACAGTACCGCCGTCCCCTACTAACCTTCTATCTGTCCAAACCTCCTGCGAAAGGGGAAAGGGGGGTGGATTTCCGCACGTTGCCCGCTGAACATTCGGGCGCCGATGAAGCCCTCTTAGACGCGTTGGTGCGGGATGTCCGGGCACGGCAGAGCATGGTGCGGGCGGTTTTGGAGGATATGGAGGAGGATGAACCGCTGGAGTTCGTCGGCTCCCGTAGGACCGAGGACGGTGCGGCGGCAGCGCTGTCATCATTGCAGGCGCTGGTTGACGTAGATTTGGTGGCTTACCGCAGGCAGCGCGACGCCGCAACAGCGTTTGGCCTTTTGCGGGCAAGTGTGGAAAGAGCAGGGATATTCGTGCTGATTAAGGGCGATATAGGCAACTATCTAACCGCGATAGACACCAGCGTATTCAGAGGTTTTTCCATATCGGATGAAGTGGCGCCCTTTATAGTGATCAACGACCAAGACGCCAGACCTGCTTGGTCTTTCACCCTGTTGCATGAGACGGTTCATCTATTACTGGGACAAACCGGCGTAGGCGACGCACGCGCCGATAGCGAAGTTGAGCGTTTCTGTGATGACGTTGCCGGAGAGTTTTTGCTTCCGATGGAAGAATTGGACCAGTTAGTTCTGGATCAAAGCGGCGATATAGGAGCCATATCGGAGCGAATCAGCATGTTCGCAAGCCAAAGGAATCTCAGCCGCGCTATGGTGGCTTACAAAGCATTCCGACGTGACCTCATCAGCCAAGTGACGTATGGTCAGCTCAGCGCCACTTATCGTCAGCAGTGGCGAGCGGATCGGGAACATACCCGGGCGCAAGCACGTGAGCAGGAAGGAGGGCCCAGTTTCTACATTGTGCGTCGCTACCGATTGGGCAATAGAATCGCAGATTTGGTTCAGCGTACGATGAGAGCTGACGTTTTGTCGACATCCAAGGCGGCCAGAATTCTGGGGGTTAAATCCAGACAAGTACAACCCTTGCTCGATTCAGGCCGTCTTGAAAACAATTATGCTTTACCTTCTTGACGCGAATGTGTTCATAGATGCAAATCGTGATTATTACCCTCTTGATAGGTTCCCGGAATTTTGGGACTGGCTAGTAGCAATGGGAGAGCATGGGTCGATTAAAATTCCACGGGAAATCTATGAGGAAGTCGTACATCCACCACCAGTACGGCACGATGACGTGGTCGATTGGTTAAGAGGCAATCGAGATCGGCTACTTCTTGGTGAGGAAGTTGATGCGAGTTTAGTGGCCCAGGTGGTGGAGCAAGGGTACGCGAGCGACCTGACTGATGATGAGATTGAAAAGATTGGCCGCGATCCGTTTCTAATCGCTTATGCGATGGTCGATGTCCAAGAACGATGCGTAGTGACCAATGAGCGTTCCAGGCCAAACCGCACCCGCGCTAATCGGCATATTCCGGACGTATGCTTAGACTTCGGGGTGCGCCCTTATGACACGTTCAGGTTCATACGTGAGCTTGACTTCCGTACTGATTGGCGAACGCGGCCGTAAAACACCGCGCCAGACAACTTTGCTTGGCCGGTACAGTCACATCCAAAAGTCGAAAAGGGTGATCTCTATGCGGCAAGTGGTTCTCCACCCAGGGGAAGATGGCTATTGGTAAGCCGAATGCCCCAGTCTGCCCGGCTGTGTCAGCCAGGGCGAAACCAGTCAGGGTGCGATCGCCAATATCAAGGAGGCTATTGAAGGATACATTAACATTCTTGAAGATGCTGTCCTGCCGGTCCCGGAGGAACGCTTTGAGATGTTAGTTGTAGCCGTATAAATCGATTGCCCCGAGTTTCGGGGCGCGAGTGCGTCGGCGCGCTTTCCAAAGCAGGGTTTATATCCGGCGGCAACGGGGTAGCCGCATCATCATGCGGCGCGACAATCCCTTTGGTCAGGAACTACGACCTGACCAAAGGGAATTGGACACGGGAACATTACGAGCCATCGTCCGACAAGCCGGTCTGGGAGTAGAGGGATTCTCGCATCTGCTGTGACCTCGACTCGCGCGATTTGTCGTTAGGCCCCTCCCCACTGTGCTATTATGCGCCCATGCGGCGTATCAGCGCCGGTTCGCACTCTGCTTTACGACTTTCGCTCTATTCAGGAGGTTATGATGTCCGGAAACTATACAATCAGCGTGGGCACCATCGGGGGCGGCCTGTCCGTTAGCCCAGACGGTGGCGAAAGCTGGAACCGTATCCGTAATCCACTGCCCACCGAGTGCAATATCCGCACGCTTGCCGTCGATCCCAACGACCGGCACCGCATCTACGCCGGCTCCGACGGCGGCCTTTTCCGCACCGACGACAACGGCTCCACTTGGGAGTACGTGGAATCCCCCATGGACGACCTGCAGATCTGGTCGGTCGGGATTGACCCGGACGACAGCGACACAGTGTTCGTGGGCACCCGCCCCAATGCCTTCCGCTCCCGCGACGGTGGCAAGAACTGGGAAGAGCTGGACCTGGGAGTAAGGATGCCCTGCCCCATCGGCATCCCGCGCACGACCAACATCATCGTCGATCCTCGGGACACCCGCACCGTGTGGGCCGGCATCGAGGTTGACGGCGTATACCGCAGCCTGGACGGCGGCGACAACTGGACTCGCCTGCCCGACCTGGGGCCCGATCCGTTCCATGGCGATATCCACGGAATGGCGATCAAGCCCGGCGCCAATGCCGCCATCTACTGCACCACGCCGTTTGGCATTTCCACCAGCAACGACGAGGGCGAGAGCTGGGAGCTCCACGAGTTCCCGCGCTTCCACGCCGAAGACACTCGTTCCTACTGCCGCGGCATGGTCATCAAGCCCGACAACCCCGACGTCATGTTCGTAGGGAACGGAGACACCATCCCCGGCGTTACCGGAGCCATTCGCCGCACTCGCGACGCCGGCGGGTCCTGGGACGCCCCCGATCTGTCCACCACCCCCAACTCGGTGGTGTACTGGTTCGCGGCCAACCGCCACCTTCCCGACGTCATGGTAGCCGCCAGTATCTACGGCTACCTGTACGTCAGCTCAGACGGCGGCGATTCGTGGGACAAGCTTCAGAAGGAATTCGGCGAGATCCGTTCGTTGGCCTTGACGCCAAACAGCTAGTCTCCGCCTGATCCCGCAAGAATGCGCGACTGCCCCTCTCCTTTACAGGGAGGGGCAGTTTTTAGATTGCCTCGGCCATCTGCGTTTCACGAGTACCCACCGCTTACCTTGTTTGAATAAGCGAGTACATATACGATATATATCAAAGCAGGGGAAAACAGGAGCCAAAACACACGTAGCAACATGGGGCTTGAGCCTGGCGGCTCAAATCCCTGAACCCATCGCCGAGGAATGGAGAGTGCGTGATGGCTCAGCGATCGAGATTAGTCCGAGAAATTGCAACGAATCGCCCAGCCAAACCTCTTCCAAACCGGGAATATGACCATATTCAGGAGCGCACCTAATGCCAACCTTCGACTCCGACGGCGTCCACATTTTCTACCAGTCTACCGGCGAGGGATTTCCCCTCATCTGGAGCCATGAATTCGCCGGCTCTTATGAGAGTTGGGAGCAGCAGGTACGCTACTTCAGTCATCGTTACCGGGTGATCACCTACAACGACCGCGGCTATCCGCCGTCAGACGTTCCAACCGATCCGGAGGCGTATTCGCAGGACATTACCATCGAAGACCTGCGCCGGCTGATGGACCATCTCGGGCTGGAACAGGCCTACATCGGCGGGTTGTCCATGGGCGGCAACGTGGCCCTCAATTTTGCTATCCGGTATCCGGAGCGGTGCCGCGCCATTATCGTGGCGTCGGCTGGCTCTGGCACCACCCACAATGAGGCATTCCGCACCGGCGGCGAGGCGATGGCGGCCCGTCTGCTGGACGAGGGCACGCCCCCGGTGATGAACGACTACGGGAGCGGGCCGACCCGCGTGCAGTTGCAGCGGAAAGACCCCAGGGGCTACGAGGAGTTCATGCGCCTGCTGCTGGGGCACAACGCCCGCGGCTCAGCCTACACCTTCCGCGGCGTCCAACTGAAGCGACCCACCGTCGATCAGATCATCCCGCAAATGAATGCCCTGGAGGTGCCGACCCTCATCATGGCCGGTGACGAAGACGATCCCTGCCTGGAACCGTCGGTGATGATGAAGCGGGCGATCCCCAACAGCGGACTGGTGCTGTTTCCCCAGTGCGGCCATACCATCAACCTGGAAGAACCGGCCCTGTTCAACCAACTGGTGTCCGATTTCCTCACGGCGGTTGAGGCCGGCAAATGGGCCGAACACCCGCTGGGGGAGACCGCCTATACCACTGGTTCACGGTAGAGACGGCCCACGCCCCAACCCCTCTCCCGGTGGGAGAAGGGCTTTTTCTCCCGGCGGGCTGTTCCCTCTACCGGCTGGAGAGGGGCTTTGTTCATGTGGGGATGCTAACCGCCCCAGCCCACGGGGATAACCTCCCGAAACTGCTGCATGGCCTCGATGTGCTGGGCCACCGAGCTGAGGGGGCCTCGGCGGGCTTCGGCCATGATGTGGGTGGCTCCCAGGTCTCTCCACCCTTCGGCTTCGGCCAGCCATTCCTCCGGAGATTTGTCCGGCATCCGGAGCCGGCCCGCCAACCCGACGTCCGAGGACTGCCTGCCGGCCTCGGCGATGTAGGTTTCCATCTTGCCCAACACAGCGCGGGCGGTGTCATCCGGCCCGAAGCTGGGGAACCAACCGTCCCCCAGGCGTGCGATGCGGCGCAAAACCACGTCCCGCGGCACCGGCCCGGCGGTTCCTCCCGCTCCAAACCAGACCGGAATGGGACGCTGAACCGGCAGCGGGTTGATGCCGGCGGATCGTACCGAATGCCACTGCCCCTGGAAATCCACGACTTCCTGCGTCCACAGGGCGCGCATCAGGTCAATTTGCTCCTCGGAGCGAAGGCCGCGGGTGGTGAAGTCTTCGCCCAACGCCTCAAACTCCACGTGGTTCCAGCCCACGCCGATGCCCAGCGTGAGGCGTCCGCCGCTGAGGACGTCGATCTCGGCGGCCTGCTTGGCGACCAACGCGGTCTGGCGTTGCGGCAAAATGAGGATACCGGTAACCAACCGGACGCGGGTGGTGATGGCAGAGATGAACGCCAGCGTCGTCAGCGATTCGTGAATCACGCTGTGGTGCGTGTAATAGTGGTCGCGGACATGATCGTGGTGGGCCGGGTCGGCTCCCAGAACGTGGTCGGCGATGAACAGGTAATCGAACTGCAAATCCTCGACGGCCTGCACGTACTCGCGGATAGAGCCCGCGTCGGGGCCAATCTCGGTTTGGGGAAATATTGCGCCAATTTGCATCGCAACCTCCGATAGTTGCTGTCAGAGAATCTGATCGTGTTGCCTGAATAATATGGTTAGGGGTGGTCGCCATTCGTGCTGAAACGCTGGCCTACCCCCGGTACTCGTCGCCGCAGTCGCCGATGATCTGATAAAGATCGCGGGACTCTCGCAGCACGGAATCAATTTGTTCCACATCTTCAGCATCCAGTTGGAAGCTGAACACCCGGGCGTTTTCGGCGATGTGCTCCGCCACTCCCAGCCGCGCGCCGACAATTACTCCGCCCACCGCCGGGCGATCCAGCACATAACGGACGGCTACGTTGGCGATGCTGACGCCATGTCTGTCGGCCACCGCTTTTAGCGCCGTCAACAGTTGCTGGAACAGCTGCCAACCGCCCCACGCATCGACCATCTGCTTTGTATTTGCGGAGGCTCGCGGTGGTCAACGCTGAATAACCGGGCTCGGGCTGTCCCAGATATCGGTCGGAGAGCAGGCCGCCGCAGAGAGTGCCATAAGCCAGGAGCCACACCCTGCGTTCCTGGCACAGCTGGGACATCTGGACCTCAGGCCGGCGGTCGATCAGGGAATATTGAACCTGATTGGAAACGACGCGGATGTCGTGGTCTCCAATTACCCGCAGGCGTTCGGTGTCGAAATTGGTGAGGGCCAGGCGGTGAATCTTGCCCTCATCGCGCAATTCGGCCAGATGGCCCAGAGCGTCCAGATAACGGTTGTCGCTGTACTCCCACCAGTGGAACTGCAGCAGGTCAAGCTTCTCCACCCCCATGCGCCGTCGGGAGATGTCGACGTTGTTCTCCACGATCTGCCTGGTCATCGGGCCCGGACGGGGCACCCACTTGGTGAAGGCCTGGATGCCGGCCAGCGCATCGTTGCCTCTGGCCGCCGCCAGTTGACTCCGGAACTCGCCGATAAAGTCCTCGGCGGGGCCGTAGTGGTCGGCCAGGTCGAAGGTGGTAAACCCGGCGTCCAGGTAGTCGAACATGTTCCCGATAGCCGCCGCCGGATCGATGCGGCCATGGGCCCCGACACCTGCCACATGCCATTCAATATGCGACAAATGGGCAGGTCTCTCGCGAACTGCAACCGGCTTTCCGTTGGGAGCGTCATGGGCGACACCTTATGATGAATTGGCGGTTGGAAACGCTCCGATTGTACCACCCCAACAATGACGGCCCACCCGATGATGAGGGTCCACTGCCGTTATGTTACGATGACGCCAAAACATCGGCCGCTTCTACGACTTTTCAATCCGCCCACAGGAGGCACCCCCATGACTTCACGACAGCCCATCCGCATCGGACTAATTGGTGCCAACATCCACCAGGGTTGGTCGCCGCGCGCCCACCTGCCGGCGCTGGCCGCTCACCCCGACTTCGACCTCGCCGCCGTCTGCACCACCCGCCAGGAATCCGCCGACGAAGCGCGGGCAGCCTTCAACGCCGGCGCCGCCTACGACGACTACAACAAGATGCTCGCCGACGGCAACCTAGACGCCGCCACCATCTCCCTGCGTGTGCCGCGCCACTACGATCCGACGATGGCCGCGCTGAAGGCCGGCAAGCACGTTTTTACCGAGTGGCCGCTGGGTCGCACCACCGCCGAGGCCATCGAGATGGCCGATGAAGCCCGCAAGCAGGGGGTCAAGACGGCAGTGGGATTGCAGGCCCGCGCCAACCCGGCAGTTGCCCACCTGCGCAAACTGATCGCGGACGGATATGTGGGCCGCGTAATGACCTGCCACGTCCGCCTGATGCGCGAGGGCGTAATGACCCGCGACTCGGGGCGCACCTGGCAGCGCGAGGACGAATCAGGCGCACATACCCTTACCATCGCCTGCGGCCACACCATCGACGCCCTGATGAGCGTCGTGGGTGAGTTCGCCGACGTGTCCACGGTCGTCAGCACCCAGGCCACCACTTGGCACGAGACCGACACGGGCAACGACCTGCCGGTAACTTCACCCGATAACATTCTGGTGAGCGGCAATCTGCAGAGCGGCGGCGTCGCGTCGGTGCAGATTGGCAACACGGCGTGGGCCGGCAGCGGCTACCGCATGGAGATATACGGCGACGAGGGCACGCTGGTCGCTGTGTCGGTAGACTCACCGCAGTTGAAGGAAGTAAACATCCGCGGCGCCCGCGGCGGCAACGACCTGCAAGACCTCGTCCCCTCCGAGGAACTGATCCTGGCTCCCGAGATGCCAGCCAACGAGGCCTACAACGTGGGGCAGCTGTACAGCAAATTCGCCGCTTCCATCCGTGGCACTTCCAACGGCGAGGACGCGGTGCCCGATTTCGACCACGCGGTCGGCCTGCACCGGTTTATCGACGCCATCCGCCAGTCCAGCAACGAGGGCCGTCGCATCGCTACCGCCTGATACCGGAAGTAACAACCCAGCGAGTGTGGCCAAACCAAACGCCCCGGAGTCGGAAGACCCCGGGGCGTTTTCATTTCGCTGGCAGAACCAGCCGCAGAGTTTAGTCGGCGGTGATGGTGGCGGTCGCAGAGGCGTCCACGATGGGCCGGTTGGTCCTGGCGTCCACTTCGAATGGGGAGTAGAGCTCCAGCTCCTTGCCCATCTCGCGGACAGCGGGGATGACTTCTTCGCCCATCAGGCGAAGGCTGCGCATCTGGTCATCGTGGGTCATGGCGCCGTCGCCGTCCCAGAAGAACACGCTACCGGGCCGCAGGTATTCCAGAACCTCACGGATCTTGGGGATAACCGTCTTGGGGGTTCCGGCGATGATGGTGCTATCGGCCACCTGGTCTTCGTAGGGCCGCCGGTTGGTGCCGAAGCGTCCGGCGGGGCCGAAGGCCGAGGCGGACAGGCGGCGGGAGTTGCGGGACGTGTGGCCGGGCAGGCTCATGATGGCGGGGTTGATGCCGCCCTCGTTGCCGGCCAGGAAGGGGTTGCTGACGCCGGACAGGTATTTCCGCGCGACTTCTTCCGCCTTCTCCTCGGTCTCGTCGACGTGCACCTTCCACAGGTAGGCTACGTTCTGGGTGCCCGACTCGTAACCATTCTCGGCGGCGATGTCGTGGTACAGCTGGAACGCTTCGCGGGTGGGCTCCAGCTTGGTGGCCAGCAACACCAGCGGATAGCGCTTCTCGGCGCACCACTTGACGGTCTCGACCGACACGGTGGACGGGATCCAGACCTGCGGGTGCGGCTCCTGCAGCGGGCGCGCCCAGGGGTTCACGTACCGGTAGTGGAAGTGCTTGCCCTCCCAGCGGAACGGGCCGGGATCGGTCCAGGCCTTGATGATGAGGTCGTGGGCCTCTTCGAACCGTTCGCGGTTGAAGTGGGGCGGAGAGTTATGGGACCAGCTCTCACGACCACCGCCGCGGACGAAACCGGACACCAGCCGACCGTGGGAGATCATGTCGATCATGGACAGCTGCTCGGCCAACCACAGGGGGTCGTCCCAGATGGGGAGCACGTTGCCCAGGATGATGATTTTGACCTTGTTGGTGATGCGGGCCAGGATGGAGGCGCCGACGTTGGTAACACCCTGCATACAGAAGGGTGTGGAGTGGTGCTCGTTGAGCATCACGGCGTCGAAGCCCATTTCCTCGGCGTAAACTTTCTCATCGAGGTAGCGGTTGTAGAGCTGGGCGCCGACCTCGGGACGGTAGTGGCTATTGGAAATACCCAGGTCAACGCTCTGGGTGCCCATGAGCCCGGAACTTTCATCCTGCCAGGGCTGTTCGGTGAAATGACCAATCAGCATGAGGCCTCTCCTTGAATGGCGTGCTTGGCGGCAGACCGCCTGAATAAAGGTGGCTTGATGGGCGACAGTCTAACAGGGGAGGGGAAACGGGGCAAGGCGGGGAAGGGCCCAGCGAAGGATACTCCTCAGGAAACCTCCTGGGATTAGCGACGGGCGGCGTCACATGCGGCTAGGTTTACGGAAGGCTATGGGACTACACCGAGCAACACCAGAGGCACCGCCGGAACTCCTCGTCCTTGACGAAGAACATTGACTAAACCCCTCTCATAATATGGTACCCCTGATGACATCTCTTGCTCTAGTTCCTTCATTGGCACTATCTCCATCCCGACGTCGATGATGTCTGAGACGAAAAAACTGAGATGTTTTACAAACAGATCATGTGCTACGAATGAATATTTGCCAAATTGGACTTCGACTGCAACCCGATCTTTCACGAAATCCGTTTGGTTATAGGATTCGACTAGGAGTATAGCCTGCTTCTTCGATTGCAAGTTTTTGTACGCCCGGATCCAAGTTATAAACGCGGCGCATTAATCGCTCGTCAAAAGCTACCCAAAATCGCCTCCGTTGTTGTACCCATTCTCGCTGCTCGAATTCCCATTTGAACGCAAAGTTCAAGTCAGTCGGTGAGTACAATGTTCGCCCTAACTTGGTTTTATCCCTCGAGATTTTAGTTCGGCAACGTGCGGCGTCCACGCCTTCGATCACATTCTGAACTTCAGTCCACAACTGGGGTTGGTGCACAATCAAATATTCCTCACCGTTCAGGTGCTAATATCGCGCCGCTATCTTCATGATTGGCCGCCCCGCGGCTTGGATGTATCATAGATGGGCTTGCCCATCGGGCGAGTTTTGAAGACGCCCAGATCCCATTGGTGCACCCTCTGCCGGGCTATGGTTACGTATTCGCGGACCGTATCGCATACATAAGCCGAGCGTCCATGTTTCAAAGCGGCGATCACCGATGAACCCACGCCCATGTACGGATCTAATATGGAATCGTGGAGGTCAGTCATAGACACGACCAGCCGTTCTACTAGCTCCACCGGGAATTGGCAAGGATGAATCGTCTTTTCCAGATGATTACTTTTCACATTTGGGATTTCCCAAACGTCACCAGGATTCTTGCCTTTGGGATTACCAGATATTTCCCCTATGTTGGGACCCTTGAAATGTCGTTTCCCCGGATATTTTGCTGGTACGCGAATAGTGTCCAGGTTCCAGGTGTAATCGTCGCTTTTAGTCCACCAATTAATCGTCTCGTAACGGTCCGACAATCTTCGTGTCGAATGCAATCCGTGCCCAAAGTGCCAAATAATCCGGTTGCGAAGTTTGAGCCCATGCTGACGAAAGATAGGGTATAAGACAGCATCCAATGGAATAATCTCGCCATTCTCGACGTAATTACCCACCTGCCAGCACAGCGTTCCGCGGTCGTGCAAAAGGCGAACACCCTCGGATATCACCGATTTCTGTGCCTCAAGATAGTCATCGAATGACGACTTTGTCTCGTATTCTTTGTCCAAGTTATACGGTGGTGAAGTCACGATCAATTTCATTTGTTCACTAGGGAGCCGTTTCATGAACGAAAGGTTGTCCTCCAGTGCGATTATCGGCCTGGCCACGGCAGCGGAAGGATCCCATTCCTCCGATGAACATTGCGAGGGTAAGCAGCGATAAGGTTCGCTCCGGGACTGGCTCGGCATTGTCAGTTGTGTTGCAGAATAGTTCATTTGGTATGGCCTGGGGGTTAGATCATACTGCATAACAGAGAAACGTTCACAAACCGTGGGGGGCATGCTAGCAATTATCGACAACCCTCGCAACGCCCTGCCTGTCACCACCCCCAACGAATGTTACAATCCACCCACGCTTTTTCGAACTTATACCGCCACGAGGACTAATTTGTTATGAGCATAGATGTCGCAACCGCTATCGCCCGCATTCTGAAGCAGGAAGGTGTGGAGTGGGTCTCCACCTTCCCCGTCTGTCGCATCAACAACGCCCTGGGACGCGAGGGCATGCCCATGATCATGATGCGCGACGACCGCTACGCCGTTGCCCTGGCCGACGCATTCTCCCGCGTCACCGGCGGCGACCGCATCGGTGTCTGCACCGTGCAGGGTGGAGTCAACGGCGCTGGCCTGCAGTATTCCTATCCCGGTCTTGCCCAGGCCTTTGAGGACAACTCGCCGATGCTGTGCATCACCGACGGCGTGCCGGCAGGCAGCACCGAAAATACGCTGTTCGACGTTACCACCAGCCTCAAAACCGTTACCAAGTGGTTCGGCTACATCGACCGTCCCGAGCGGGTGCCCGAGTTCATGCGCCGCGCCTTCACCATGCTCCGCAGCGGCCGGCCGGGACCGGTGGTGCTGGCCGTGCCCAACGCCGCCGGCATCTACGACGAAACCGTCGATCCTTACGCACCAGTCAAGGGCTGGAAATCCGCGCCGGATCCTTCCGACGTTGTCACCGCCGTAGACCTGCTAATGGGCGCGCAGAACCCGCTGATCTACGCGGGCGAGGGCGTCATCTACGCCGGAGCCTCTGCCGAATTGACGGCATTCGCGGAGCTGGTCAACACACCTGTCATTACCACGCTGAAGGCCAAGGGAGCTTTTCCGGAGAACCACCCGCTATTCGTCGGCGTGCGCGGCGACCATCCCATCGAGTATCTGGAAAAAAGCGACGTCATTCTCGCGGTTGGCTCCAGCCTGTCACCCGGTCGGTTCACCCACGGGATACCCAACGCGCCAGGCAAAACCATCATCCAGTGCAACCTGGACGAGTTCTACCTGAACCGCATCTACCCGACCCACCACGCCGTCATCGGCGACGCCAGATTCACGCTGCAAGCCCTTGCCGACGAGGTATCGCGTCGCACGTCGGGAGCCGGCCGCCCCGCCAACGGTGTGGTCGCTGAGGTCAAGGCCGCCCGCGACGCCGGCCTGGCCCAGTACCGCGAAGTGATGGTGTCAGACGACACGCCCATCAATCCGTACCGCGTGTATGGCGACTTTATGAAGGTGCTTGATCCGTACAATTCCTTCGTGACCCACGACTCCGGCAACACGCGCGACCAGCTCAGCACGGTGTACGACACCCTGATTCCCCGGGGGTTCCTGGGATGGGGCAACATCTCCACGCTGGGCTTCGGACTGGCGGCGGCCCTTTCGGCAAAGCTGGCCTTCCCCCAGCGGCAGTGCGTTGCGGTAACTGGCGATGCCGGCGTCGGCTACATGCTGGGCAACCTGGAAGTACCCGTGCGCCAGAACATCGGCATCACGGTGGCACACATCAGCAACGGCGGTTTCGCCGGCTACGGCCCCGGGTTCTGGGGCGACGGCCACGACCCCTACACGCACCGAGTGTTGGGCCCGGAGGACCTGGACATGTCGCGGGTGGCATCCGAACTGGGTCTCCACGCCGAGCGGGTCACCGAGCCGCGGGACGTGATCCCCGCCATGCAGCGCGCGCTGGCGGCCAACGACACCGGACAGCCATCGTACATCGAGTTCATCTGCAGCCAGTACCCGATCTACGGAGATTGGGCTCCCACCCACGTGGCCCACTGACCATTTGGCACGGCCCTCACCCCAACCCCTCTCCCGATGGGAGAGGGGCCGAAACTACGGGTAGCGTCCGTTCTTCCTAAGCCTGTCGAAGGACGGCTGGGGATGAGCGGACCTCTTCCCGCATGTGCTATGCACCGGTTTACCACAAACCGTGATTGCGGACTGGCTAACCTGGCTCCCTGGTCAGTTCGGCGTAGCGCGCACCGAGCGGGACGGTTCGCTCCAGCCGCCACCGATGCGGGAATTGATCGCAACTATCTCGAGAGTATATTCAGTGCCGGCCATTAAGTTGACCACAGTGTAAGAGGTGGTAGCGTGGCCGCTGCCGGGTATATCTAACCAGCCTTGGGCGCCTTGTCCCAAATCCTCCCAGGTAGCGCCTCCGTCTGTGCTCTGTCGATACCGATAGTGCGTGATGTATGTGTTGCCGGGATCCCGCCAATCTAAAGCAACCTGCCCATTGCCGGCCGTGGCTGTCAGGTTGTTCGGACGGGCCGGTTTAGCTCCAGCATCGACTCGCTGATTGGGGAAGTTCCAATATTGATGCAATTCGGCGTTCAGCGCATTGCCAGAACCATCCACGACCGCTCCGGCATCGCGCAGGGAGTCGAGCAGCCCCAGAATGCCGTTGTCATCCTGGTAGCCATCCTGCACCGTCCAGGTGAAGACCAGGTGATTGCCGCCGGCGGCCTGGCTTCGCCCTCTATCGTAGCGAAAGGCAGGATATTGGCTGCCAACCTCCACGACCAGTTGGGGTTCCTGACCGGTGGGCACCGTCAGGGGCTCGCTGGCGGTGAGGGTGATCTCGATGGTCTCCCCCGAGGAGTAAGTATTACCCGATGCTGGGGAACTGGTTGCAGAAACATCGGTGATGAGGGGTGCACCCAGATCGCCCACTTTGTGATGGAGGTCGGTGCCCCAATATCCGGGCAACCTCGTGTTGATGGCTTTGCCCGACCAGTCGGTAACACCGCCGGCATTTCGGAAATCTCCCGGCCCGATGAGGAAGCCGTCATCGTCGGAATACCCGTCCTCTACGGTCCAGGTGAAAACCAGCTTATTGGATCCGGCCGCCAGGCTCAGGTCCGCATCGTAGGCGGGTTGGGGGTAGCGGCCTCCCACGTGGATGAGCAGGTTGGGTGGGTTGCTGTCATCCACCTTCACCGACTCATCGGCGGTGAGGGTAATCTCGATGACCTCGCCCGGTTGATATTGCCCGGCGAACAGGGGTCTGCTGGTAAAGGCAACGTTGGTGATGCTGGGCGCTCCAGTGTCACCCACGTTGTGGCCAAGGCTGGTGCCAAGTCCGCCGCCTCTGGCCGCGTTCCCTACATAGTCGGTGATACTACCGGCGTTCTTCAAGTTGTCGTTGCCCACCCAGACCCGGTCGTCATCGCTGTCGCCGTCCTGCACGGTGTAGGTGAAGGACAACACGCTGGGTTCATGGAAAACCGCCGTGCGTTGAGGGTCGTAGTAGGCCCGCACCGGGACTGTACCCTCGCTGTTTATATGCAGGTTGATCCAGGGCGGGTCGCTTTCGTCCACCCGCACCGGTCGGTCGAAGCGCACCCTGAATTCCACCACCTCGCCAGGTTGGATTTGCTCGATAACTAACTGGCCGTTCCGGTATTGAAACACGAAACCAGCCGAGGATACGGCGGGGGCTCCACTGGGTGTTTTGGCGCCGTACCTGCTGTAACTGTCAGGTTCCCATGAATCCTCCGCGGCATTCCCCGAGTAATCTGTGATGCCGGCCGCGTTGCCCAGACTGTTGACGCCGTTATCCCTGTTGCCCAGCCAGAGCTTGTCGTCGTCCTCGTCGCCGATCTGGACCTGGTAGGAGAACATCACCCATCGGTTGACCTGGGCCTCAGTCAATGCCTGGTCGTATTCGGCGCGCACTCCATTGGGGCTGGAATTCATGAAGATCAGGACGTAAGGCGGGTTGTCGGGGTCAACCTTGACCGGGCGGTCCCAGCGAGTGGCGACATGGATCAACTCGCCGGGCTGGTAGTCGCTATCCTGCACCGGCGCGCCGGAGAAGACGTCTAGCTCCATCTGTGGCCCGCCGCCCTTTTGGCCGATCTGAGCGGAGCGCCAGTCCTCCAGCTTGGTGCCCACCAAAGGCTCACCGTCAAAGTTGCCGATGGAGACGGGATTTGCCGGTAGGCCGGGACCTATCCGCAGTTCCCCATCAAAGCCGGATTCGACCTCCCAGGTGAATACCAGTTTGTCGTCGCCCGCAGCAGTAGAACGCTCGGCGTCGTAATGGGCGCGGCGGTACTCTCCGACCGGCACCAGGAATAGCACTGAGGGCTTTAGCCCGAATCCACCGATGGACACGGACTGAGGGAGTGAGAACACAGGAAGGGGGTGTGAGGAAATTACAAACGCGATGGCCCGGGCTCGAATTCGGGTAGACGGGGGGTTGGCGGCGGTCTGCAGGCGTTTTTGGGGGCGACGATGTCGGCCTACAGTGGTTGTTGCGAGCGAGATGGCGGGATAAGACGCAGCAAGAGATGCTCGCGGACCGAGCTGGTGCGAGTTGGCGGGGACGTTCAGTTGGCCGGATGGCGGGTCAGTGGCGGTCGTGCGCCGTCAGGAGGGGAGAGGCAGCGCTCGGAATCTAGCGAGGGCGCCACTGAACTGGGCTTCCCAGGGCCAACGCTGGGGCAGATGCAAAGTGAGGCGGCGCGCCGAGCGGGTGAGCCTTCCGGCCATGGAAAAGAAGCGGCGTCGCAGGGTCTTGGTGGTCACGATCTGCTCGCCCAGACCGATGCGCGCCGTCCAGCGTGCCAGGTTGTGGGCGATCACCTGCACCGCCAGCCAGGCGCCGTTGGCGGGGAAGCGGCCCGAGGGGAGATGGTTGAGCCCCACGCCGTACTTGAGGTCTCGGATGGCGTTCTCGATCTCGGCGTGGCGCCGATGGTCGGCCTCCAGTTCCAGGGTTTCCCCCTCCCGGTCGGTGATGAAGCCGTGATAGCTGTAGGTGGCGAAGAGGGCCA